CCCTCCCCTGCTCATGCTGTCTCTATGTCTCTCAGAAATAAATAAAACATTAAACATTTTTTAAAAAAAAAAAACCTCTTAGGCTAACTGCAGCCATTGTTACCAACAAAACCATTTGTGAAGACTATACACAAATTTGTGATCCCACGGAAACTATTAAAATAAATTTAGACCTTGATTTGTTGGTTAGGGAGCACTAAGATGCTGTAATGAGACTCCAAGTAATTCAGTGATCTGAAGAGAATAGAAGTTTCTTATGTGGTAATACTGAAGTGAACATTTCAGGTTAGTAGGCTGCTCTGGTCCCTCAGTCATGCCAGGAAGCAGACTGATAGTGCATGCTCCTTGTCATTTCCAGCATGTGACCTCAGAGCTTGGGGGCACTCTCTACTTCTGTTTTTCCAAATTTCTCTTGGGAGAGATAAGTCCCAGGGCTACAGCCAGCTGAAAAGGAGTCTATGAAACAGATTCTTATTTATCAGACACCTGCAACATTACTATATAGAACATTGGCTGAATGGATTTTGGTGAGCAAATAGTCTCCACCACTACATTAGGCTCCACAAGTTAGATGAATAGTATGTTGGACTGTAATTTCTAAATTGCTATTGATAACTGGGGTAACTTCAACCTTTATTCCAATTTAAAAATATAGTTCAATAAATATGGAATGAGGATGTATTTACAAATCAAGTCTTTATCACTATTTTATAAAATTTCTAAAGCCAGATTCTCAGTAGTATTCCTTTTGCTATCCTCACTCATGATGGCTTTGTCCCCACCATGTAGTGATGTGCACAGCGGCAACTCACCTGGCAGGACCGAGTCCCTTTCATTTCTCCTTGGCAATGTGCACCACAGTTGTCAGAGATACAAAGCTGTGTTGATATAAATATATCTGATTATTTTCAGACCATCTGGATCTAGTTTAAAAACTGATATTAACAGGGCATATGGCAAATAAACTCCACATCCTCCTTGGCTCCGCTAAAGAGGTAGCTGTTTCTTTATTTTCATGACCAGCCCCAAGGAGAAGGCTAAAATTCTATCTATAATCAACCATTACCAAGTACATTTTTCTCACCATGTCAAGAAATCTGAAGACATTGTCAAATATCCTTTTTCATTTCTAACTTATATAGTCAAGAGAGAAGACATGTGTTCCAAAACTGAAGTCTTGATACAGTATGAAGGTAGATTATGCAAAACAAAAGGATTTGCAACCGCATGCATAACTTTTGCCTACCTGATGATAAAATGCCCTTAGTCTCTATAAAGAGACGCAGTTAGATAATTGAACCACCAGATGGCACCACAGAGAGTGTAAGTTTCTGCAACAGTCACCAGGGTGTGTAAGATTTGCTCTTTGCTTAAGTATCTGTTATTGTTTTAATGCTTATTTATATATTTTTAGAGAGAGAAATAGCGAGTAGGGAGGGGCAGAGAGAGACAGAGACAGAATCCCAAGTATACCCAGCACAAACTCACAAACCATGAGATCATGACCAGAGTCGAAACCCAGAGTTGGACACTTAACCAACTGAGCCACTCAGGTGTCCCAAGTATCTGTTATTTGTAACATCAAAATTTGGTCATTGCTCTGTGAAGTCAAAGATTATTGGAGAAATAACAATGTTCCCCCTTCTAGTTTATTCCCCTAAAGTAGGTATGAACCAACAATGTCATATTAATTACAATATTTTATCAATGTTTTACATTTAAATGGTACAATATAGACAGTGTATTCACAATTCATTGTGGTTATAAACCAAGAGAGGAAGAACTGTGGAAACTGCATACTTTTTAAATGTGTACTTTAGGAGTGCCTCGGTGGCTCAGTCAGTTAAGCGTCCTACTTCAGCTCAGGTCATATCTCGCAGTAGTTTGACCCCCATGTTGGGCTCTGTGCCAACAGCTCAGAGCCTGGAGTCTGCTTCGGATTCTGTGTCTCCCTCTCTCTCTGCCCTTCCCCTGTGCGCTCTCTCTCTCTCTCTCCCACTCAAAAATAAATAAAACATTAAAAATAAAAAATAATAAAAGTAATAAATGTGTACTTTAATTTGCATGCGTGAAGAATGTTTTTTAAAAAGTTTTTAAAATAAATATTTTATAATATAAATATATATTTATAATATATAATATATTGTATATAATATATATGTAAATATATATATAAATATGTCACATATATATGACAGAAACATTCTCTGTCAGAGACAGAGAGCAAGCAGGGGAAGGGCAGAGAGAGAAGGAGACACAGAATCCGAAGCAGGCTCTAGGCTCTGAGCCATCAGCACAGACCCCGACACACGGCTGGAAACCATGGACAGTGAGATCATGATCTGAGCTGCAGTTGGATGCTCAACCAACTGAGCCACCCAGGCATCCCACATGCATAAGAATTTAAAATCCAGGTGTTTTTTTTTTTTAAAGTTCCAGTATTGAATCACTTGTGGTCATGAACTAACAGGAGAGGAGAACTTACGACTAATAGAATCTTTCAAACATAAGTCCTCTTCTGTTTGTCCCCAGAAGGGGCAGGCAGGGTGGTTATCTATTTGAACGCATCCTGTGGCCTGTCAGTGCACCTCCTTACTGACTGACCAGACCCCTGGGCAGGGCTAAAGTTCCACATTGCAAGTTTTACAAGTCATGGCATGTTGCTCTGAGAACTGTCTCTGGCAAACAGTTGGCGGCCCCACATGAACTTAGAACTTACAGGCTGTGTCACTGCCACATGTTGCAAAGAGGCCCTGCCCAGAAGGACCTAATTCAGCTTTAGAAGGTCCCTGAGATTTCTAGAATGTCAGCAGTTCCGTATGTTAACATATAAAGCAATTCAATGAACCCTATGGAATTCCTGCTTTAAGTGATAGATGGAGGGAGGATGATGCAGAGATCATTCCCAATGAGTGTCTGTCCAAAAGGAGCAACTAGTGTTGAGGACACAGGAGCTCATGATAAGTAGAACCCATGCACCAGCTGTGAGGTCTTAAGGAAGGAGTGACCATTTTCTTCTGCCACCCCACTCTGCCAGTCTCATTGATTGTTATGTGTACTTGAAAATAGATGAACCTGATAGCCCCAAAGCTCTCTCCTTTCAGGAAAAGGATGGATACCCTAGGTCTCTTTTTTATATTTCTCTCTTCTGCTCTTCTGTTTTCTAGCAGTCCTACCTATAGTTCCATTACTAATAGGACTTTGAGTTTCCAGGGAAGCCACCAAATGCCATTAAAAACTCTGTAGTTTACCTAATGAGGCAATGGACAATGCCTAAATATGATTCAGATAAGGGAAGCCATACATAACATATTTCAAGTTTAATAGATGAGAAGGTTATGATACAAAGTTGGAATCTATTAGGGATGAGGATACCTGCTATTGCTCTTTTGTGTTTAATATTTTCTTTTCCCAGAAAAGGCAAATAATACATGGACAAGTGTGTCTACACTGACAGAAAGACCACTTTATGGAGATGTCATTGTGTACTTTTAACAATGATGAGAGCTTTCACGAAGCATACGTTCTTATATTGCTGGTGCAATGAACTCTGTAGTTTCATGGGTCCCTCAAGGAAGGAAGCCCTGAGTGGATCATCACTCAAAGAACCACACTGTTTGGTCTCATACAGTATACTGGGCTGGCTGGATTCTGAACTCTGATCATCTAACCAGTTTGGGTTTTTTTTTTTTTTAAATTTTTTTTAATGTTTTATTTATTTCTAGGAGAGAGAGAGAGACAGCGTAAGCAGGGGAGGGTCAGAGAGAGAGGGAGTCACAGACTGAAACATGCTCCAGGCTCTGAGCTGGCAGTCAGCACAGAGCCCGATGCTGGGCTCGAACCCACGAACCGCGAGATCATGACCTAAGCGAAAGTCGGACGCTTAACCGACTAAGCCACCCAGGCGCCCACCAGTTTGGGTTTTTTAATAAGTTTATGATAACAAAACAATGTTCCCTTGAACTAACTAGTCTTTTTTGTTATTAAAACTAAACATCAGATTTTATCATTTAATTCAAAAACAAACTGTTAGGGTGCATGAAAACTGTTTAGATTATGATCACAGCTCTCCCAGATTTAATCATGTGCTTATGAGTCGTATTCTTACACACCCATCAGATGCAGCCAGGGATTTATGATCAGTACCAGTTTCAAAGAAAATGCTCAGATTGATTCATGAAACCAGTCTCCCTATCTTTTATCTTCCTGCCTCTCTCCTCTCAATAAAAACAACAAAAACAGAACAAAACAAAAACAAAACAAGAAAAAAGAAAAAGGGAAAACGAGTGTTTCCCTTGATGCTGAATCTCCAGCTCTGACCCCAGCTTAGTCGATAACCTCAAGTAAATTGCTTCCCAGCAGCAAGCCTGCTTTTAAAAGATAACTTGGACTTGGTGGAAGCTTCAGCATCAGCTCTCCTTCCCTGGGTAGAAAATATCCCTGACATGGGGCTCCTGGGTGGCTCAGTCAGTTAAGTGTCTGACTTCGGCTCGGGTCATGATCCCCCAGTTTGTGGGTTCGAGCCCCGCATCAGGTTCTATGCTGGTAGCTCAGAACCTGGAGCCTGTTTCAGATTCTGTGTCCCTTCTCTCTCTCTGCCCCTCCCCCACTCATGCGCACGCACTCTCTCTCTCTCAAAAATAAATAAACTATAAAAAAATAAAAATAAACAAATAAATAAAAGAAAGTATCCCTGACAAAATCACCTGTCTTCTGCTTTAGCATTTTCTGTAGGAGACACTTCCATTTTTGAACAATTTGAATTAATAAAGAATTCTTCTCATGATGCTAAAACCTTCCTGTGTTTTACGTCTATCTACTGGTCCTGCATTTTGCTGCCTGAAGTCTTACAAAATAATTCTAACCCCTTATCCATAGGCTTCCTTTTAAACATTTGAATGCAATTGCCACATTTTCAATGTTTCTGTGCGTATGCATATCCTCAGCTTCCCCAGATGCCGGTATAGCACTGGTATGGTGGACTTTCTGACTGCCTTGTCTGGATGGCTTTGTCTCAGAGCTCATACTCCTAAGTTAAGCTTCTTTCTATAGATAGAGCTGACTAGCACAGAGTTACCAGAGAAGAAAAACAGCTCTGTCCGCTGACAATTTTGTGTGCAGATTCATGTGAGTGCCTGTGATCGAACCTGGCCACCATTGAAACAGAGAATATTTCAGTCTGTAGCTTGAGGAGAGGAATAGATATTTTGACTAAACTTTGTGAACAATTCAGTCAGGTATTTTGTACTCATTTGTGGTCCCTGTGGAACACCAGATGTGTTCAATCAATATTTACTGGCTAATGCTCAATTAATGTTTATTGAACTGAGAAGGAATTTTTTTAAATTAAAAGTAAACTCTAAAAGAGAAATTTAACCAATTAATTTCTTTGGAGATTATCACTTTGTAAAATAAGTGGATTTAGCTGAAATATATCTGACACTCCTTTCACTTCTTATATTTGCTGGTAATTTTCAAATAAAAGGAATTTGTGTATTATAGTTCAGTCTCCTGAGAAGTCATATTTTGCACTGCAAAAATGTAAGTGGCAGGTGACTCATCACTCTTTTTCCCCCAATGAGGGACAACTCAAAGAATGAAATATATATATTTACTTACTTGCCTAAGGCTGGCTAAATTATTGCAAGGCTAAGGAAAGGTTGGAACCATGGCAAAGTGGAAACTTAAAAAATATTCTATTGAAAGGTTGTCAGTGTCTGTGTCACAGCAATGACAACATATTAATGTCAAAGTATTTTTTTTTCAGGGAAATCCAGATATTCAGGTGGCTTTGGGAAGTTTGTGCAGTGCCCTAGAAATCAATCAGTGGGGTTGTCTTGCAGCACAGCAGGATTGCTTTCTTTTTAAAGAGCACGGAGTAGATCAATGGACCATCCCCCATGCCTGACTTCATGAAATTGAGACTCATTTGGAAGGTGAGGAAATGTGCTGGCCTGGAAAGGCTGCCCTTCCTGTTCACCTTCTCTGCATCCTTTCTCATTTGCATCCTCTTCCTTCTGAGGGCATAACTTCAGGGTTGATGTGGAAACAACAAATTTTAGCCCCCACTTCTGTCTAAGGACAAAAAGTCATTTTGACAGATAAGAGCACCTGTTTATGCCTAATCAGAGAAATGACCAACCAAGTTACTGTCTCTGGAAAAGCAGTAAATCATTTTAGTGTATTTTCTTCAAGATTCAAGTGTTGAGTTTGGTTTCAGGAGAGAAAAATAGAAAGGACCAGGCCCATGGAGTGTGGTGGAGAGTGGTGGTATAGAAGAGGCAAATGGTTTCTTTTGATTTTTGTTTTTTGCTTTTGTGTTTGCTTTTTTGCAAATGGCTTCTAAACAGGCAGGCAAAGAAAGGTGATTAAAACACCTCATGTTCACTAGCATGAGTTTCAGGGAGAAGGTGGCCATTATAACTATAGTTATTAAAATGAAAGGTTTTTTAATGTTTATTTATTTTTGAGAGAGAGAGAAACAGAGTGTGAGATAGGAAGAGGCAGAGAGAGTGGGAGACACACAACCTGAAGCAGGATTCAGGTTCTGAGTTGTCAGCACAGAGCCCAACACCAGGCTCAAACCCACCAACCCTGAGATCATGACCTGAGCTGAATTCACATACTTAGCGAACTGAGCCACCTAGGTGCCCCTATAGTGAAAGTTTTTATAGATGAAGTAGGTCTTGACTTGACCATTAAGTTTGAGGGACCCAACCAGGCAAGGCACAGTGGTTACATATGCTGGATTCTCTGTTATCTTTATCTAAAGCTAGTAAATTGACATCACTTTTCTTATCCTTCCCCTTAACTGGTGAATCCTGCTGTTCACAGGAACCCCAGTCCCACTGCTTCTCGAAGGAAAGGAACATTTCATCTTCTGGCTTTTGCCTGCCTTGGTGGGGCAGTCAAGGTGACCACTTGGCCCCAGTGTCCTTTGGCTCCCACATTTCAGAAAACATGCTGAATAGTAGAGAACACTGTTGACTAGTTCTTTTGATTATCCTCAGTTTACTCCTCTTCACCTTTGCTAGGTGTTCAAAGTACTTAAAGAGCAGTGGAGCATGTAGTTAACAGGGGGCTTCATTTTGACCCTTCTCATCATGGCAAAATGTTCAAGGGCAATTCCAGGCATTATCACCTCTGCATAGAATCTTGGTACCTGTGCAATATTGTACAATTTTCTAACTATAAGTGACTAGGTACATCAATAGTTCTCATTCCACCTTCTTTTTATTTTGTTCATAAAAGTTTATCAAATAATATTCCTTTTCTAATTAACGTAAAGTCAATGTAACCCTGTTACCCATTAAATTTGATTCCTCAAAGGGTCACCAATAACTAAGGCTTACAGGGTCATCTCTGTCAAGAAGGCCTGCATGTCACATCATATAGGGTAGGATCCTCCATGATTTCTTTTGGCACCCTGTTGTTTTCTTTGTAGTTTACAACAACTGGTAACTGTGTTTTATAGTGCCTACTCACTCTACTGGTAATGCTCTCAAGAAAAAGTTCATTTAGCTATTTACCTTGCATGTATCGAAATGGTAATGAATGGATTAATGAACAAATCAGTGCAATTCATTGAACAAATCAATGCATGGATTTGATTCTTCTTTATTATTTGCACAACAAAATTGTTAAGTAGATCCTTGCTATTGTCTCTGGCCTGGGGCTTTCAGTTAACATATAGTAGGAATTGAATTCATCAAAAATCTGCTCCTAGACATATGTCTGTATTTGTGAAAATTCTAAATGATGTGAAGTTGTTTCATTATTATAGCAAGAATTGGAGACAGGCTTTTAGGAATGTATGAGTTTTCCTCTGGTTGGTCAGTGGTGTTTATTAGAAGTAAAGACACAGGAAATCAATTTCTCTTTTTTCTGTACATCCCTTGAAAACTGTTCAGTAGAATAGATGGGTCTCTGTTCCTCTAATTTGTGACATCGCATAGGT